AAAAAAAAATAGTACCAATAAGGTTAATTTTAAATTATTACATAATTACTAATGGATACTTCATGTCATAAAGAATTAGTGTTTGATGATCGATGAACCCTTATTCACGTTATATGACGATGATTTGAAGTAACCATGAATGTTTAGATTTGGAATTGGTCGTAAATATCTCTTAAACAAAAAACTCGGCACCTCTTATGTTAAGACGTATATTTTTATTTTCATGACCACAGAAGAAACAAAAAAGGAAGTAAAAAGCCTTTGCATTTTAATTAATGAATTTATAAAAAAAAAAAAAAATTTATATTACAATCAAACATTTAAATTTGTCATTAAACCTGATATTAATATTTGAATCATCCTGATCATGGTTATTTTTATGATATTGCGGCACAGTATCTTTATGGTTTATCTACTGTAATAATTTACGCAGAATTGAACTATCTCGAGTGACAAATGTCCAAGACTTTCGAAAAGTTGTAATTGCTGGGAAACAATAAAAGAATTAAATTTGATCTGGAGATATTACTAAGAATGCATTGAACTTATGACGAAAGTCTTTTGCAAAACAAGTATTTTTATTTTATTTTTATATGTAGGACTAACTGAAGTTTATTTAAATAATAACATCTGCAACCTTATAGAATAAATCGTTGCAAGTTACCTAAAATATGTTTCGTCATAGTGAGCATTTGATCACCTCTATAGTTAGTTGGTTAAAGAAACATATGCTGTATTTGTTGAATCGCAATCGTATCCAACGTGCTTAACTGTATTCACATTTCTGATATCCAACCTGATTTAAAAAAAAAAAAAAAATTACAAATTTTGAGATAATAATTTTGAGATAATTTTGAGATAATAATTTTGAGATAAAATTATGAGATCGATCTATGTTTCACATTAACACAGAACACAGGCTGATAGGATCGGGCTGTTTGTCCCGACCAACATTATTAAAATAGATAACTATTCAACTTGGGAAGTATCGTTGATATTTCGACCACAAAAAGTAACGGAAGTGAACACTTCGATCACGAGGTACAAATCTGGCAAACCAGAAGGCAAAGAATAATAACCAGACATTTAAAAGTTTGATAACAAATGTTGAAGAACCTGTAAAGAACAGGAACAAAAGCACTGC